CTCAGCATGAATGCAACTTTTGTAATCAAGAACTTCTACGAACACGAGCTTTTCTAGGTAATCTTTTTTTTTTTTTTTTTTTTTTTTTGCGGACTGTGTGCTCACGAAGAGGCATATAATTAGTTTCCAGGGAAATTTATACAATGCGTGAAATGTGTGTTCGCTTGGCATCCTTCTTGCGTCATAGTCGGTTCGCTACATATGGATCGAGAACGTGATCGCTATGTACTTTGTCCCAGGCACAGCACTGTGAAGCGTACGTCAAAACGGAATATTCCATACTGCGTTAAATGTGAAAATCCTTTCGGTAAATTTTACATTAAAGAGAAGGAAAGCATTGAAGAACATATTCTGATTTGCCGAAGCCACAAATTAAACTAATTATAACAAAACGTTTCGTGCTTATGGATTCTTATATTCTTTTGTAGAAAATGATTCTCAAAAAATGGCATGTAACTCTTGCATACGTTCTTTTTGCCATAGCTGTGTTGCTGGGAAAAATAAAATCAAAGATGTGAAAGCAGATAATTTTGAATTTGTGTGCGATTTTTGTCGATGTTTCGACTTTCCGAGAATTGGTGACTACGTTCTGGCAACTTACAAATCCAAGTAAAGACCTTATTTTTTTCGTTTTTTTTCGAAATAATTCCGCAAATTCAAATTAAAAGTCTAATTTTTTTGAATTGTTAACGAAACATTTCCGAACATCTCTCATATAGATTCCGAATATTGTGAGTTTTGCGGATGTGAAATATGTTAAATCATTTTGATAATTTGTTTCGTTTAGTCTTATCTTTCAGTTTTTGGCCCGCAAGGTCTCTTCATGCTGATTTATTGCCAATATCGTTATATTCTATGAATAATTTGTTTGGAAAACTTCGCGAGGTTTTGATATTTTTTTGTTCCCATGTTTCACAAGTGAGAATTATGTTATTCACCACATCGCTTTGTGCTTTGTGAAAGGTTTGCGGCTTCCTTATAGATCCGTCATGTATCTTATTGTTTTTATTTTAGCCGGGCTATGTACTTGTACAGTGGGTTGAAGGATTGAATGTTCCAAATTATGATGTCGTAACATGTAGGGACTTGGTTCCACTTCCAAAGACACTGAATTGTTCATTTTGGAAGCGCATGAAGGCACATGCAAAGATTTACAAAGGTTTTTTTTTTTTTTCAAGACTATATATGCATGTGATTAAGTGATACTAAGAGATTGTTATGGAAGCAGTGTTGCATAGTATTCATAGTGAAGTTTGAATTATATGATGCGTTTTCTAGAGTCTTATAACTCTTTGAGCTTCATGAAATTTCTTTAAAATGCAGGAGGTATAGTACACTTTTTTCTTTGGTTTTTCCAGACTATGAATTTTTTATCACTACGGTTGTACTGTGTAAATTTTGATTAAATAAATGGAAATTTAGCTGCTGAAGCTATATACGCTAGTTCGAAAGCAGTAGTTGGTATCAGGCGTCCACTTCCACAAGAAGTTAAGGCATCAAAGTATACGAGAATTAAGGTGCCTTTTAAATCAAATATTTCTAGATTCTGCACATTACACTGTTTCATGTCTTTATGTTTCATGAGTGTAATTATTCAAAAACCAAAAAAGAAAAATTTTCTAGAAAACAACTTGTTAGGATAGTGAAAGACTAAGAAGGATAGCTGAAGTTACACAATTTTAGAGGGATTTTGAACTGTAATTATGGTGTCAACTTATTACAGAAATATAGTTGTATCATGAACTTCAGACAAATATAAATATGCGCTTAGCCAGAGCATTATCAGACACAACGGAATTAGGTCACTGCAATTGCGAACCTATCAATGGAATGCGTTGTACTGTTGCCCACAATTGCTTGAATCGAATCTTGATGACAGAATGTCCTGAGGTTATTTTCTATTTCTTTTCTAACCAAATTTTTTCTTATTAAATCATTAGTGTTGATTTTGTAGCACATTAAATGACACTATGAATTCTTCGAAGTTTTGTTAAAAATGTGATTATAGGATTGTGATTCAACTTATTTGGGGAAGCGGAACGCACTTGTAGGCGGTACAAGGCGACAGATTTTAAAAAGAACTAAAAAACTGGTTACCAGTGAAAAATCCCTTTTACCATCACAAAAGATGTGTACAAATAATTTTTTGCGGCATCATGATATCAATGATGATAATTTATTTATGGAGGAAAAACCAACTATGTTAAAAGGATTTGGTGCCTTCGCGAAATGTGATATTGATAAAGTAAGGCATCAAATAAATAGAGCGTGGTGTTCTTAGTTCAAAACGTAAAACTTATTAGCTTTATCAAAGCTTAGAATTTATTGGTTTTATTTCATCAGTAAATAATTCAAAAATGGCGAAATCATATATTTGTTTGTCTTGATCAAAACATGCAACCATCTTATTGCCGCATTTCAGTAGTTTGTTAATTAGATCGAAAAGAAGGAAGCATCGGATTTTTTTTTTTTAAATTGCATATGAAATATTGCAGAAACCAACACCATCTTTAGTGCAGTCTCTTTTAGGGTATTGATTTAACCGAATATGTTGGGTATGTGATGACGAAGGATGAATACTTAGAAAAATTGCGGTTTCGTTGTCTATTTAATGATTTGGAGGCGTCATATTTTGGGATGCAATTGACAAATGATTTTTACGTGGATGCACGAAATTATGGCAATATTGCTCGGTCGTTCAACCATTCATGTGAACCGAATACTAAAGTAGATGCTGTGGTGGTATGTAGCTCCATTTACTGTCTGGATTCTTTTACCGCTTAATTTATAATTGTCGTAATTTTGTTTCTTTGCAGGTTGATGGAATTTACAGACTCAAAATTTCGACAATTAAAGATATCAAAAAAGGTACTCAGTGATTTGAATTAATCGAGTCATTAAGATTTCATTAAAATTTCAAGTATACTTGAACCACTGTATTTTTTAAATATAGTCATTGAAAATTTTTTTGCATTATTTTTAGGTGAGGAGTTGACCTTTGATTATGATACGGAAATTATTGAAGGCCTTGTGGGCATGGAATGTTTCTGTGGTTCTAGAAACTGTCGACGCATAATTGGGGTAATTGCTTTTTACTAAGCCTTTTTTTCTTGCGCTTTTACCATATAAGTAGAATTAAATTTTCAGAAAAGAGCAAATACAACACGAAAAACTACAAGTGTAAAAGATCTTTCTGTGTTGAACCAACACGTCAATGATAATAATAACACAGCGAAGAATGTTCAGTCGAAAACAACCCAGTTCAAGAGTTACAATGAAGTAATATTTGTTTTCCATATCATGGAAGAATATCCTTGATTTTCCTGCTCATTATGAATAATTTTCAGATTTGTGAAAGCAGCGATCATCTAGTGCAGGAATATGTGCAAAATAAGCGAAGCAAATACTCTGATGAAAACGAAGGTGCAAGAAAAGAACAAGCTTGTAAAGTTTCATGATAATTCATTCCGTTTTGGGGAATTTCTGGTCCCTTCATGTATTGACTTCTGACTTATTTTGAAAGGAATCCTACGACAAACGTCTTTAGTTATTCACATATGGTGTTCTGATACATTTTGTAATTGAATGCAATAAAGTAATGTTGTTTTGATATGAACTTTTCAGATTTCGTGAAAAGCAATGGTGAAAGAAAGCAGCAACTACGGAAATTACAGACATGTAAATTTTTGTAATTTCAGCACAAAAAATGTTTTCTGATGACTTTTTCTACCTTGAATCCATCATATAAATGACTTGCAGTTATTTCTGAGAACGTGAAAAGAAATGGAGCTGAAAAGCATTTATGCTCAGGAAAAGACCTGACAAATATCATTGTTAATGTTTCTGTGAAAAATGCTCATTATCAGTCAAGGCAACAACAGTTGACTGGTTGAGTTAGAGGATGAATTTCTTGGATGTTCTACTGCAGAGCAACTGGAAAGAGAAAGAAGTGAATATATGAACAAATTCCTTTCTTGAAATGCTAAACTATTAGGTTTCGATTTAATTTGTCTTTCCATTTGAACAAAGCTCTTGGAGATTTCTTTGTTTCTTGCTTGACTTTATTCGAAATTATTCATTTTATTTAATGAATTTGTCAAGGCTCTGTGTTAATAAGCGATAATGAACTCCTAGCGGTTCATATTACACAGGTAGTTAAAGATAAAAAAAAAAAAAAAAAAGTGGGAAGAAAATGGTTTATTGCTAATCCCATTAGGTTTGTTATTTTAAATGTATGTGCGTATTCGTTTTATTTTAAATATGATTTTATTGCATAAAAAATCGCTTTCCTCATCTTCATTAATATATTCCGGTATTGTTTCGTTTTATTTCTTAAGTTTTCTATTAAATTTGTTTCTATATTTTCATCTACTTTACTTTTATCAAATTTCTGCACGTTGTCTAATGGCTAGATTTGAACAAACATTGCTTTGAACATGAATTAAGACTGTTAGTTAACATTGAGATAACTCTTGTTTTTTGTTCTGAATTTTCTCTAATTCTTGTGGTTTACTGTTTTAATTATCATATGAAATGTACTTATTACTTTGTTTGTATTGCTTATTTCAGGTTGTGCATTTATGCTATCTAATAGTCTTTTCGTAATATTGCTCTTTTTCTGAACTTAAAGTGATTTTTGAAATTATTCTTGAAATATTTATTTCGATCGCTATTATTATTCTGTTTCTGGGTTATAATATTTGAAATTTAGCGTGACATTTGAATTCATGTGCATGCAGTTTTTTGGTGCTTATTTTGTTCACCATGTCTTTCTGATATGAAAATATAACTTTCCTGTACGTATATTGATGAGGAAGCACTGAACTTGAGTAGACTTTTTGCAAAGGTAGTTTATTAACTCGATCTTTACATAGTAGTAGATGTATGTGGGTAAAGCGTACAGTGAATATTATTCGAATAAACATTATTTTGAATGAGGAACAGACTTGACAAAGCAATAGTCTATAATTCATCTGTGTTGGATATTGTCCTTTAACCGATCATTTTTTTTTCAGCAGTGTTTCTTCATGCGATTCAGCTGAAAATGTCAGCAATTTTCCTTCATTTTGTTCGACTGCTGAAAATATCAGCAATCTTTAAATTGTTTTTTAAATTTGAAGAAGAGGTACAAACAAGAAAAAACTTTCTAATGACTCATAAACAAACTAATTTGCTCCTTTGCCTTTGTAACGTGGGTAATTTGACTGTTTTTCGATCTCTTCGAATTTTATGCTCCCAGCGGGAACGTAATTCATGTTGCTGGGTTAGTATGATTTTTTTTTTGGTTTAAAAAGCAATAAATCTTACCTTTCAAATTTGATTCAACTGGAGCAAGCCCAGGATGAATATCATGTTTCATCCATGGAAGCTGTAAAGAAGAGAGCTAGTGAATATCTTCATTCTGATTTGTATAAAGTTTTTTTTTCCACAACTTTGCATTAAGGATATATTCAAATGCGTGAAAAAACAGTGGTATTCCAAATCACCTAATGATTGGGGTATTAATAATAATTGATTACTAATAGTGCAAATATTACTGAAGCTAATTTCTTTACTGTAAAACTTGACGACAACATCAATTTGGTGTCGACATGTTTCCTTTTAACATATTGAAGTTGTATATCATAAAGTACAAAGCTTTTGAAGGAATATCATCCAACAAGAAGTGATATTTTGCTTACGAAGGAATTAGAGATAACCTTACTAAATCCATCCAAGTATATACTGTGAATTGAAATTTATGGGAAAATAGACATTGTTCATTATAGTTCCTTGCAAAGCGTTCAGATTACTTTAAATAGTTGTGATCTTGTACTTCCTTCGTTTATTATTTATAGAATAAGCCACAGTATATACCGTAAATCTTGCGGATGGAGAGATTAGTGGATAAATATATGGTATGATTTAAGAATTTAACCTTCGATACAGAATTCAATTACTGAATTTATTAAAAAAAGAAATACCATAGATGAGTGTTCTTTAAATTTTGATTCCCTTTTTCGGTGTATTTTATTACTCAAATTAATTGCCGTCTCATTTTTTCCATCTTTATCATCTTCCTCACTGCTGCTACTACTGTGTTTTCTATCTTTCTTTTGCCCCACCTTATACTCTCGTTCGTATCCTGTAAAGTTTGCCGTGATACCTTCTAATACTAACAATGATTATTTACTTGTATTTTAAAGTAATTAGTAATGAATTTTTGAAATATCAATGCACATATAAAAATGATTAAACGAGAAGGCACGGGATGAAATCAACCAAACATTTGAGTCAACGCCAATTAATTAAACTTTCATACCATGGCTCTTGTCTTTTCTCTGCCTATCTTCATCATCATTTTCTGCAAAACCTGCAATTAATCATGTTTAACTATATTTTTATTCCTGAATTCCAATACTCATTTTAAAATGAAAAAAAAAAAAAAAACTCTACCTGAGGAGGATGAAGTGAATTCTGACGTATCGCCTCGATCAACTGTCTTTTTTCGGTTACTCTTACTACGTGCTGCATCTATCTGCCATAGCAATACACCAATTACCAATGCCACAACAATCACTTTAATATTCATCATAACGTTGCACTGCAAATATTCAATCTCATAAAAAAGAAATTGCAGATCACTTCAGTGCTGTACACTTGTTTTTATAAAATGAATTAATAAAACAATGAATTTTATTTGCCATAAATTAGAAAAGGATATTTGTAAGTACTTACTTACAAATTTTTTTTTTTTTTTGGAAAAGTAACATGAAATCTGAAATCAACAACTGAAAAATAGAATAAACAGGAAAGGAATCTTAAACATTCCGGATATATCGCTTTAGAATATTGATAACGTAAAACATAACAATTACTTATACAAGATACTTTTTGATGAGAACATAAGTTTGTAGATAATAAATAAACGCCGAAATGGAACAATGAAAGCTCCTCCATATTCCACAAATTTCTAATAGCTTCATTATGCTTATTTATTTACCATAAAAATTTCCAGCTAGCTTATTTTTAATTTAATTCCATTTAACATATGAAATATATAACTAAATATTTAAAGAAAAAGAATCAATGGTTTATTTACATAGTAGTAGCAAACAGGAAAAAAAATTAATTTAAAAAATTTCGTCATTGTATTTGCACCATATTGACCTCGTTGAAGAATAATAAAATACACTTTATTATTTGTAATTTATTTAAGGCTTTTTCTTTTTTTTTTTTTTTTTTTTGGTGGGAAAAAAGGGGAAAAAAACTCTGACAATATTTCACTTAAATATTAATTGAAATACTGCTCCAAGTAATTTTTTTCTTGGTAAAGGTATTTTGCTTCTGAAACATGCATAAAATATCAGTTGTTGTGCATTTATCAAACATGAACAAACTTTTGGAAAAGATATCACAATGAACAAGTAAAAAAGTAAATTATTTTTACAAATTCCTAAAAGTTACCATCATCCAAATCTTCATTCAAGCAGTGAAATAATAGAAAATATAAATAGGAGACATTATTAGCAAACTGTGTGTGCTATTCAGTTTAAAGGATAAATGATAATGAAATCAATTCGAAAAAAAACAACTGCTTCGATTAGAAACGAAAACCATCGTTTCTTTAAAGAAAAGACTGCTGACAAGTGCTTTGAAATAACAGCTCCAATGATGAACGATGAGTAATGAACAATGATAAATTACAATTCTATGGCACATACATACATATATATTTAGCAGTTATCCCCAAGTTGAATTTCTAGAATTTTTAGAACATTTTATAATTTTAGTTACGAACATCAAGTCTTCCTGCCCATTTCACAAGCAGACGCAACTGACCCAAACAGCACTACTTCAAGTCCATGTTAAGCAACCAGTCTCTGTGTTCGTTTTTTTTTCTTTTTTTTTCTAACGAAACTGCCATCATCGCAGTCATAATGTAAAGTCTCATGAGTCACTCTAAATAGATATACCTAAACTAAACTCTACTGCATAAAACTGACTTATAAACCGGCACAAAACTACCAACTCATTAAGGTCCTCACTTCCTAAAATAATTTGCTTCCTCAGAAGATGAGGACCTTCTCCACCTTATACTTCATTTTATCAAATACTATCACTTTTATTTATCGCAAAGTGTTCGTTGCCCTACTTGCATACCTTTTTATATGTCAGTTTGATTTTTACTGCCACAATTCGGACAAATTTTTCATTATATAATTACTGAAAATACCACAAAAAAGCATTTAAAACATTTCTTCACACCGCGCATGAATCATATATTCAAAAAAAATGAAAAAAACTGCAGCTTGCTCAATTTTATTTCCGAAAAAACAAAGCACACAGTTTTTTCCATATAATAAAATTTTTTCAATGCGATAGAAATAACACAAATTTTTAAAATTTATAAATTTGCAATTTACTACTTTCAGTTTAAATAACTATTTCCATGGACACCAGAAATGAGAGATCTTGGTAACTAAAGCTTATCGCTCTTTCTTCGTTTCTGTATTATTTTGAACTGTTTCAGCCGGGGTCTGTAGATCATTATTATCGGGTGGTTTGGCATCCGCCAATTGCTTTTGTGATTCGTTTTCGCCAGTTGGATCTTCCAGCGAAACTCCATATTCGTTCACACGTGTTGGGTCAACTCGATAAATCCACCTTTGATAAATATATATCTGAACAGAAAAGGAAAAATAAATATAAATCTTTTTTCACAGATTATATATGCAAAAAAAAAAAAAAAAGAAAAACGAGGTTAAAAAAGAATTAAACAGTTAAAAAGATATAGTGATTTGTAAGGAAGTTCTGAAATATTAGATATATTTCACGTGTTGTCTAAGTAAGCTCAAGTCAATTTGGTTTTGAAAATTTATCTAAAAAGGATTCATACTACGTGTGTAAATGACCGGGACAATGTATTTCTTTTTAAAATGTTAGCAACCAACCAAAAACACAATATCATCTCGAAAACATCCTAAACGATACATTGTTGGCATTCTGATGACAAAAGCAAAGAGATCATCGATGAACGTATTGATGAATTTGTATGTTAACATGCGCCAAGGCAAATGAGCCACAGATTTTAACTTATAATTTATAAAAAGCTGAAATATGCAACGTATATCTCATTCTTCTTCCAGAGTTAAATTAAACAAATATTTAGAAATACAGACCAAATGTTTTCGTAAAAAAGATGTGAGTTTTTGACTGCACTGAAAGCCAACCTGTGGTGTCATCATAATAAATCCAAATGTTAGTAAAAAGCTATACAGCATGCTTAATATCCAACTATACCAACCACGTTGTTCGACATATATGAGAGAATACACTGCATAACCACCAAGCAATGGAAAAAGTACCCATGACAAATATTTGAAGGCTAACTAAAATTATATCATGAAAGATTTGATGGCGCAACACCACATATCAATATATCCAAAAAAAAAATTATCATACCAAACTTTTGACGAGTTCTGTAGGCATAAAAATCTCAATTTTCCTTTTTACAAAATACTTCGAATCTTCGTTTCAACAAAATTACCACTAAGAACAAAGTTAAATATGCCATCGAAAAAGCAAGTACAGCTATGGTTACCATAATAAACTATAACTAAACAAACTAACCTGGTCATACTGTTTTGTATCTGATTCAACATATGATCCCTTATCAGTAAATATGATCTTTGGCAAGAACCCAAATAGTTTTTGGGTCTGATCAACCTTAAATGGTGGTTTTAGATCCTGAATATCAAGTAAACAAAGTAGGCAAAACTGATTGCGTATAATGAATATAATACTATAATTGCCAAATAAAATTTTTTACAGAAAACAACGATTTCAAAATATATATCATCTGTAAATTGTGAAAGTGAAAATCAATCATACATTTATATTGACACATTTCGGTATTTTCCATAGTTCAATCACCAAACCAACTCCAACAGACATTTTGATAATCCATGAAGTATCGTTATCACAAATATACAAAAAAACAATGACAGACTGGAACACGCTAAATAAAACTGAACGAACAGATAGGCCCTGCAAAACAAATTTTAACATAAGTAAAAAAATATGCAACATTTTACAAAGACTTAGGGATTCCGCAACAGAAAATTCTCACAAACCTCCAAGCTCTTTCGTGATCTCCAAAATTGGATATCATTTTTGAAAGCCAAAAACTCGAAAACGGTATGCAACAACGAAACAGTAATTGTCAGTCCTGAAAACAGAATTTCCTACAAATGACCCTCCAAAAATGGATTAATAAAATAACGGCACACTTCTAAAATGGAATGACTAACCAAGCAATACTGGGCTTGTTTCGAGAAGTGCCTGTTTGATTGAGTCCTGGTCATCATCTCCATCTTCAAACAATTCACCACCGAACATCTGTGACCACTTCCCGCGCATCTGCAGGAAAGCAGTTAGTAAAAATTGTTGAGAAATAAAGTTAAGAAAAAAAAAACCTCAGCAAAACAGAGATGGAATGTAGGTTGAAGGACTGACGTTCAAAAGCAGTTACAGCTTTGAACGTTAATGCTCACCATACTTTTTAGCGCTTTATGCAGGCCAAACAAAAATTTTTGAGTAGCTGAATAAAAGCGCGGAAACTCGTTCTGCAGACTTAGTATTATAATGTTTCACAGATTTTTCTCTACCATGTAAAACTAACCTGCTGGGATGCGTATAATTGCCATTTAAATAATGATATTGGTGCATACCGGATTGAGAGTTTTAGTTCTTCAACTGAGCTATTTATTAATATATAGTCGGCCGCTAAGTTCCAATAGTCGTTGAAAAAGAATATGGGCTTGTAGGTGTTGTCAATAGGATCAAACTTTACAGCTTCATCAAGGGGAGATGGCAAAGAACCTGCAAAACAGATCGCTAATAATGAACTAATTAGAAGCAAACAAGACAATTTGATTAGTATTTACAAACAATTTCATGCAAATTTTTATAAAACCATGAATCCTTTTTTAAATGTAGTTCAAAAAAGTACCTCTTTGCCATGCCGTCTGATCATCGACAAGACTAATCGTTAAATTTGGGTGCCAATAATTGAGTACTTCAAAACTCATCACTTCAGCCTTCTTTTGTTCTTCTTCAGTCTGTTCTGTCTTACCAGTAAGTAGATTTTGCGTCCTTTTATAATACTTCTTCTTGTATTTATTAAGTTGCCGTACATTATACAGCACCTGAAAACTATAAACAATGAAACTATTATTAGCTTAAAAAAGTATGGATGGCGTACAGCATCCTAATATATTTCATAATATCACACTTATTTTAACCTTGAAAACGACAAAATATGTTTAAAAAATTTGATTCGACTGGAATGAAATATTGTTGACATAATCAAAAAGTAACCTCTCTTTTAACATGAAGGCGACTTCTACGATCAGGTGACTGATCTTTCTTTACAATGAATACATGTATGTATAACGAGCCATTATTAGCAAGCGATTTGGGAGTGGGAAATGTGGCTGATTTAGTACGTGAACCATCACCATCTGGACCAGATGTCCAATCACTGTATGTTATGCCGGTTTCTTTCCAAAACAGCGCACTTTCGTCATCAAA